GAGGAGAAAGTTGTTGTTTTTTCTTCTACTCCATCAAATGCTGCATCTTCACCCTCGGTGTCGCTTTCTGCCGACAGACGATGACGACATCAACCGCATGGGCGAGAAAGTGGTCCTCCGAGAGCAAGTCAAGGAGCTTTTCAACAAGAAATACGGTAACAATAATCCATTAAATCAATTCAGAGCTGAATCTGACGAAGCTTCAGGAAAGGCCAAATCAGAAAAAATGACAACATGCGAAAAAGTTTGAATACAAAGAGTTGAATAACAGACGATTTTATCTGCATTTTCCATTGTGAGATTAGGCCAGTAATAAATCTTAAAATGTTAACAGACAAATTTGTATCTTGCTTGAACTGCAGTTCAGAGCCACGAGTGGCCCAGACAGAAGCTCTTGCTCTGCATATTTCAAACTGTTGAGTAAAGTTAGTTTTATTCACGGCTTGGTTTAATACTCCCGCTTCCTCTTGCTGTTTGTGCGGTCCAGGCGAGGCGCTGGGCTTGGACCGCTCCGTCGTCGTTCCGTACAAACTGATCCGCGGCAGTCCGGAGTCCGTGGAGGTCGGCGGTCTGCCAGACGACGTCCCCTTCCGAAACCCCAACACTTACGACATCGTGTGCCTGGAGAAAATCCTTCAAGCTGCGGATAAAGTAACGTTCAACATCAAGAGCCAGCTCCAGTGAGTGCAGAGCCGCCTGGAAGCTGTCAGCGTCTCGGTTCAGGGGAATTTAGGTTCTCATTGTGTCGCATTAAAGCTCCTGACGGTTTAAATCCACCCTTTGATATGTCACCCACTGCATCCTCTTCAACAAATATATTTATATATATGTAGATATAATGAAACAAAGCAGAGTCTGCTTTGACATCAAAGCGGCTCGTTTAAGATGAAAGGAAATGAAAAACTGTTAAAATAATCCAGATTTCAGTCTGTTTCTCTTAACTTTTAGGTGTCAGAAAGTTGAGTAACCTGCAGGCTAACGCAAACCTTTTACCTCTCATAGGCCTTTTGCAGAGATCTGCAGTCAGGCTTGTAACACAGGTATGAGCAACTCAGACTGGATTTGTAGGATTAAAATGAAAAGCCTCCGTCTGTCAGCTGAAACCTTCTGCTTGGTGTCTCCAGCAGGAACAGACGCCTCCACTAACCGACGGAAACGCAAGAGAGTCCAGGAGAGCAGCCGCATACCCGCCTCCTCCGACCTGGGGATATCAGCCAATCAGATTCCAGTTATGGTACTTTAACCCCGCCTCTGTTTTTGTCCTAATTCAGTCTGTGATCCATTTCTATACCCATTTTTTTAAACTAACACTTTGATGTAGGACCTTGTGAACTACAGCTCATCAGTCTGCTGGACATTTATTCATTTGCACACTTCAGCTAAACACTGTTTGCACGGAGGTTAAAAAGGATCAAATTGAACAAAAGTATCAGTCAGAAGAAGGATGCAAAAAAAGTGAAAGAGTGCTGAGCTGTTTGTAAGCTGCCGTTTATTTTCTTGATTAACCTGATGATGATTCTGATAAGATATCGGTTAGATGTTCCATTTAACCACAGAACTTTTGTTAGTTTTAGAAATACATCAAAAGATGCAAATAATCAAGGAAATAAATACATTTATGAAACAAGAATAAAATGTGCCTTCAATGCAATAACATCATTAGTGTATGATTGATCATTTGTAGAAAAGGAAACATCTGAAGCTAAGAAATATTTCTAACATCAACATGTGAAGAGATATTTTCAGACAAGGGATTTTTTTTATATCTTAACTGCAAAATGTTTTTAGTTTCACTTGGTTCAAATTCTGTTAAAAAACTGAAGGAAATAAAAAAACAAGAATTCTGTTAAGGAACCTTTTCTGTACAATTGAAATCAGAAAGAGTTGAGCTTTTCACATGGATTGTTTTTAGCTGGACATGCGTCCAGCTACAAATAAGGGAATGCAGCTGTTGCACTTTAGGCAATAAAATGTTTATTTTACTTAAAAATGAATTGAATTGCTAGTTTGTGTTGTTTAATGTGTTTGCATTTTGCAAAAAGAGGGCTAAGTAAAAACGCCAGCAGAATCAATGGATAACTAAAGGAGTCTCTAGTCGCAGCGTTCTGGGGAAATAAAGCTGCGTTGCTGCCTGCAGCGTTTTGTCTCCTGCTGACCCGTCCTCTCTGTGTCCCTGCAGCAGTGGCCCATGTACATGGTGGACTACAGCGGCGTGAACGTCCAGGTTCCCGGGAAAGTCAATTACTGAAGGACAAACTCAGAGTGCAGCGAGGAGGAGCTCGTCTCTCGTCCACAGAGGGACACTAGGACTTTCCCCTGGAGGAATAAGACGTGCCGGTCTCTGCAGAATGCTTTTCTAAAAGCTGCAGGTTCCACTCTTGAACGGCAGAATGTATGTGCGTCAGAAAGCTTGGCTTGTTTTGCTTTTAAAACACAAGTTATTTCACTTTCTTTAAAAGCTGGAAATGTCACTAACACGTCGTTATTTCACTTTGATTTTTCCAGTTACAAACTGTCCATTCACTGAGTCATGATTTTAAATCGAGATGATCTGGTTCCACATTATTCAGATATTTGTACCTTTTATTTATTATATTTATTAAAATATAACATTATGTGCAGGGATGTAAAATATATTATTCTGTGTTACTTTGAGGAACTCACGACACTAACTCAGATAACTATAGGTGGCTGCTAAACACCAGACTGAAGCAGCAGATTTTAAGTGTCTTAATTTGTTTTGTTAAACAGGAGACAAAAAAAAGGACTCAGTTTGGTCAACAGGAAGTACAACATCTTTATGTTAACACCACATTAATATGTAAAATATGTCATTTAAAGTCAGCCTGAATGTATCATGTAAAGAAAAGAATGGTATGTTACTCTGCGATGACTGTCTTTGGACTAATTATATTTAATATGCTGTACCTTAACGCCAGTTAGGCCTTTGAAATAAAATGTGTTGCCTTGCACTTTGAATTTGTGGTGTTTGTTTTTCATTGGTTTTGAACACAAAGTTCAATCGATTAGAGGATTTTTTTCTTGTAAAAATGTATAAATATTCTTAGCTGATTCTTTGTTAGAAATGGATAAGAAACAAATCAGTTTAGATCATCAACATTTTTTAAGTTCAGTGAAACAAACCATCAGTTTCCACTAGGGGGCAGTATCTATTGTAAATGTTTAAAGTTAATTGCAGGGTGTGTAATTAATCACATTTTAATCAAAACGTAACAAAATAAGCAACATTTTCAATTCAAAATCTTGTTTTGCTGCTCAAAAGCAAATCCATATTTGTGGTTTTTAATGTTTCATGATATCCAAACATAAGATTGTACAAAGTTTTTCCAAGAATCTCTGATCACCATGGAGCTTCTTTAGACATGTGGACAGTGGACACTCACATTAGCACTGGGGACATCTTTGCTGCTGCAACATGTTTAGCATTGTGGTGCTACTTTAGCTTTGAATAGTTTAGCTAATAGGCTAACTCCTGTTAGCACAGTTTTAAAACTCTTTTCCAGCATTCAATCAGATCACTTTTTAAACAAAAATGAGCCTTAAGTGGGCCAAGAGAAGTGACTGTTGTCCATCTCAGTCTATAGATGTCACTTGTGCATCATATTTACAGATATACCACAAACATGCATATTGAAAGGTTCTGGCTTGAACCTCTGCATGTTAAAAAAAGGCAATTGTGTAAAAATTCACTTCACCATTAATTAATCAATAACATGTTAAAGTCAGGGCAGTAAAAATATGACAAACTATCAAGAAACAGGTTACAGCAGAACATCTGTTAAATAAAAAGTCGATGTTTTTTTTCTTTTTAAATGAACTCGTCGCAGGTGAACCAGTTGTGCCTAATGTTGCTAATATTTTTAAGCGCAAATCAGTAACATCAAGCACAGCTGTATATAACTATATATAAATGAATTCAAATCCATCCCCAGATTTCCAAAGTGTCGAATCATTTCAGGTGTGATCGTATGCAGATGATGCCACGCTTTTCAACAATTTGCCTGTTAACTCAATACACCAGAATCGGATTAGAAACAGTTCAGATTTACAAAAAAAGATAAATAAAATCAAGTCACACGTAGTCATGGTTTTATTTTGCATTGTTTCTTTATTGCAGATCCATTTTTTTCCCTTTTTTGTTTTTTGAAGTTGTACACACGTCCAGGCTGAGTTATCGGCTGTGACTGCAGCACTGTGAGCAGGATGATGTGAATACAGGAGGTTGCACCTCGTGGGAACATGGACACGTTCGCTGCAGCTTTGCTAGTCTTGTTTTAATCAAGACAAAGTTGAAGACTGATTGTCACACTGTCAAATCTTCTTAACTAGAGATTTTTTTTTTTTGTCTCAGAGGTGAGAAAATCACTGAGGTCAGGGGGCTTGTTCTCTCTCGCACAGCAACCGCAACATTAAATGACGAAAACCAGCTGCAGAATGCCCCCAGTTTGAAGACTTAAATAGAAGACGGCTAAACAATAATAACAAAAAATAAGTCACAACTTTTATGGCATTTTTTTTTTCATATTTTTAATGCATTTCTATTTTTATTTACAACTGAAGTATTGCCTCTTCTCATCAAATCTGTTTGTTGAACTGACGTTGCTACTGGAAGTTTAGTGTTCTGACTGCATGTGATCCCAGCTTCTACCAACAGGAAGTCAAACAACTGAATAAAGTCGCTGTCGCCATGTCAGCTGAATGCACTGTAAGAGCTAAAGTGCTTCATGAGATTCTCATTCCCAGAGTGAGCTCCGCTTCCCGCTGCAGCTGAAAGACGAGGATACTGACGCGGCTGGGACGGGGGAGACAGAGGGGACAGAGGGGGACAGACGGGGGTAAAAATCACGAGTTTTCCAGTGTTTTGGAGGTTTGAAGGAGCAGGCGAACACTGAGATGAGGCCTGCGCTTGTTTTTTTCCCCCTTCCCATCGTTTCTGTTTTGTAACGTGCAGAAATGCAGCAGCATATGAACCAGGCAGCTTCTCTGCGGAGATTATGGTTGTGTTTATTTCTTTTTCCCTCAGCTGAGAGCTGAGCTGGAGGTTTGCAGTGGAGTGGAAATGTGTGAAGCTGCGACCTAACTGCTGCTGCCCAGAGGTTTGAGGCAGTCCTCTGTCACGCCCTGCGAGGCCAGCTCTGACAGAACGTTGTCCAGGTAGTTTGGGTCGGGGTAGCCGTGGCCCGACAGGTTGGACATCATCTCGGTTTTGTGGTGGATGCCGTTCCACACCACCGTGTCCTGCTCCCCAGTGGTGCTGGACGTTCCCACGGTGAAGATCAGGCGCCGCATCCACGCCACCTTCAGCAGCTCCAGGACCTGAGCGTGAGCAGAGAGACGGCCGACCAATCAAAGGAGACGTACTGTACTTCCTTGAACAGGTTAGCATACGTGCAAACATGTTCATTACATAATTGCACCAAATCATTGAGATGATGATGAGATCATAGTCTGCTGTTTAGGACCTCCCTCACTCTGAATAGAGATAAGCTGCTGCTGGCCACGCCCCCATGCTCAAATCTCTAACAGGTGAAAATGGCTGCAAACCGATGCATAGTTGTACAACCATACATCTTTGAAAAGCAGAAGCGGAGCCTCCTGCACAACCAACAAGAATGCAGTAAGTGGTTTCTGGCCGGGAAGTCAACACCTGCACAGCACATACAGCTGTAAGACCAGCTGACCAAATGTGCTAGAGCTCAGCCTGGGTTGCTAGGTAACTGTCAACTGTGACTCAACAATCAGAAGGTTTTTGAAACAGCTCATTTTCCAAACACCAAAAGCAGCATTCATTTGTTACCATTTAAAAACTGTTTGGTGTTTTTTCACAAGCAGCAAAAACCCAAAAGGAAAAACAAAACTGCAAAATGTACCTTGTGGATAACGGACCCCTTTATGGGGCTCTGATGAGTAAGTGGCTCTACTCTGACCAAATGATGTCTTTTTTTTGCAGTATCTTTGTAATTAAAATGTAAATTAAAATTATTAATATGCTTTTTATACATTTAAGAAACAGCTCAGATACAACCTGCAGGCCTGGACACAAAAACCAAAAGACCATTAATGTACAACATTTCACTCCATTGTTCCACTCAGCAGTGAGATGTCAGGGTTTGGTCTCCAGATGCAACCAATCTGAAATGTACATTTTATTCATTTAAATTTAAATCTTAAAAAAATATTATCTAAAATAATGAACCTAAACACAATCAACAAATAGAATGAATTATTTGTTGATTCATTCTAATTATTGTTCTGTAAATAATAAAAATAATAATATTAATAATTATATTAACAAAACTGAAGCACCAGACTGAAGACTTTTGTTATGCAGTTTCTGGTTGAAAGAAAGAAAAAAGGAAAAACGATCAATTATATCAAATGGAAATTATTGAGCTCATTTTAATTTGTCATATGATTGATTGATTGATTGATTTATTGCTTATTGCATTAGAAAGCTGAGAATTTCACTGAATTTTTATGTCGATCTCACTTTTCACAAAATGCAAAGGGAACTCAGATGAAGGTCTTTCTGGGACCCAGATGATCCAGAGCAGCCGTGTTGTTACCAACAGACAGGCAGCGTCGAGGCTGTAAAGGTCAGAAGGTCATGACCCCTTTAATGATGCTACTGACCATTTGGACAGAGAGAACTGATGAATGTAGGCGAGGATGTTATGACTGTGTATTAAAGCAGCAGGGAGCAGCGGCGGCCCGGATCGGTCATGATGGGCTCAGATTGAATCGCAGCGTGAAGCAGACATCGTCTCCATGTTTTACCTTCCTGCCCTTGTCGTTGTCGGGGAGGAAACAGAAGCGAGGAAACCCCCTGCAGGTGAACGGCTGTCCTGGGTTGGGATGCTCCGGGCCCTGGAGGAAGAGGAGGAGGAGGAGGAAGAGGAGGAGGAAGAAGAACTGAGAACTCAGATACAGCTTGAGGCTGAAGAGATTAATCAAATCAATCATGATTGATTGCTCAGATAATGTTCAGGAAATGCTTCTTATTAAGCCACATGTGTAAAAATGGTTAGGTCAGCTATTTTAGCACCACCAAAGGTTCTGATACTGGATGTTCTGCTTTGGTTCTGGATTCATTTGTTTGTATTTGCTGCAGGAGGAAACATGAGTTAAATTTGCCACTTGAGGAGAACATGTTTACAGACCACAGCTATTTTTCACCTCAAATGTAAAATGTTCATTTCTTGTACAATTTTGGTTTAATTACAACTCTGACTCCAGTTAATAATTAAAACAGATTGTTCCTATCATTGATCTGAAAGGTGCGGTGGGCTGGCGTACCTGTATCCCAGGCGGGATGCTGTAGATGATCTGGATGGTGCCGCAGTCGGGGTGACCAGGCAGCGACTGAGCGACGCTGTAGATCTCCATCTTGCCTTTGGGCTGCGTGCCGGTCTTCTCTCCATAGATGGTCTTGCAGGACGGACACTGCAGGCTGCCGTCCTGCGGGGAGGAGGCGGAGACGTTCACACTCAATTCGGCGTTCAAACCAACAACCGGATCAGAGCTTCGTCCACTTTCACAGTAAAATTCATGCATTTTCAAGGCAAGTTTAGACATTTCCAGCGCCGCACTGTGGAGTTGTGTATATGTATTGGACTCTGTACCTTTGTTCCGTTGTTGTACATGGCCAGCATGCAGAGCATGTGCAGGGTGTGTCCACACTTGATGAATTTCCCCACGGCCTCCGGCACGATGCTCTGGCCTCCCTCCTCTGATGGCGGCGTCTCGTAGCTGGACGGATTGGACAGCTGCTCCATACAGATGATGCAGTCCTGGACAGGACAGAGAGATACGCAGTCAGAAAACCCAATCTAGTAAATATTCACTTTTATGTAAAAGGTCTTTGCATTCAAAAGCCCAGATAAATCTGACAAACTGCTTTGTCTATTAAACACTTTGTCGTCGTGGTTTAGTGTTGGGAACCGTCACCGCAAAAAAAAAGTTTGCGCAGCAGGCGAATTCCACACATATTGAACGCCGCTGCAATATACGGTGATACTAATTATAAAGTATAGCTCTGGTGTTCAGCTGGAGTCCATTCAGCCAATCAGATTTGTTGCAGGTATGCAGAGAACAATCTGGGACTGAAACGACTGATCTGATCAATTGTGATTAATCAATTATTAAAGTAAACGTCAACTAATTTAGTAATACACTCAGAAAAAGGCCAATTTCAGAAAGAACATGTTACAAGCAGTAATTAAGCCAAAAACATACAGAAGGTGCATATGTTTGGTATTTGAGATAAACATTTTTTTTAAAGTTTGTTAAAATGTTTTACTCCAAACTCCCTAAATGGCAGTTCTAGCTTCACCCAAATTCTGCTAAAGAAATCTCACATGAAGCAACTTTTGCTAACTAATAATTAATTGGTTAAAATAATCACCAGATCAGTTCCATTGTGGTGAAAACTGGAGGAGCTTTTCATATGTTTGAAGTATAACTTTTGTTCCAGTTGCATCGTTTGCTACAAATAATCAGGTGTTCGCTAAAGAAATGCTGTGAAGGCATTTTAGGCCATAAAATGCTTTTGTTTTTTTTTTTTAAAAAGACCTGAATGGCTTATTTGCATCTTCAATGTATTTCCAATATCGTGTAAAGGGGGTTAAAGAAAAAACTCTACAGATTTTGTCTGATTAATGGTCAAAATAACAGACAGCAAGTTAAAAAAACAAAACCAAAGAACAAGAAGACGAGAACGGCTCCCATTCAGTGAGGATTTGGACAAGAAGTTAAGAAGAATTAAAATCAACACTGGAAATATTGAGTCGTTGCATGAATGTAATTATTTACCAACACATTCCATCTAGAAGGAATTTGTTTTAAAGTGCACCTCAGGAACAGGTTGTAAACTCGTTTAAAGTGTTGTCGGTTGGTGAATTAATGACACAAACGCTGGTATAATAACTTTCCGTTGACTCGGCCGTGTCTGTCAAATGCTTCTCTGATCGTTTCTAATCAGGACACCGACGAGTCGAGGAAACGTGGGAAACCTTTACCTCCTCTGGAGCGTCGGCCACGACCTCCATGTAGCGCTGGATCACGTCTTCAGACCTCTGGGCTGGCGCTGGGCGAAACAGGAAAACAAACATCCCATTACTCTCCTCAAGAAGACGACGTGACAAATTCACGTTTCCATGCAAACTGGACAGGAGAGACGATGTGAGGACAGGGTGGTGATGCAGACAGACATTAATGATCGTTAATATGAAACACTTCAGCTACGTCTTTTCTTCCTTGTTGCAGTTTTACTGAAGGTAGGACAGTTTACTCAAGTTTGTTAGTTGCAAACCGGTGCAGCAATAATATGTTGGAGTGCGAAGGCCAGACCAACAAATGCTTTTAATTACCAGTATTATTAGTATTGTCACCACAATAAAGTCAGAAAATCAGGAGAAAAAAAGGGATTTAAAGATCTGATGAGTTTTTTTGCAGTCGCCTGCAAAGTGCAGCTGCTGATCATTTGATGTGTTAAGTAAAAAAAGGATCTATCCTTGTATCATTGCAGCCACATGGCTTTGCATATGTATAACGACCATCATGTTTTACGTTTTCCTTGAATTAACTTTTTTTCTAACGAGTATTATCATAGCATTTCAACTTTTGTTGTATGACTTCTTTCTTGTAGCATAATTCTTACATCTTCCTCGTATATATATATATATATATTTTGTTGTATTACGACTTTGTTCTCAACTTCTCACATTATTACAACTCTTTTGTATTATGCCTTTTTGGTAATACGAGTCTATCACTTTGTATGTAATGTGACATTGTCATGGGACTTTTTCCTCCCATTATAAAGCTTTTTATTATTAAGCTGAATTCTCGTACAACTTTTGGATTTTTTGTCTTAGTCTGGCCCGGATACGTCTTCATGGAGGACAGATCATCTGTCAGGTTTTCCAGATTTCTCAGTCATCTACATGCTGAACCGTCAGACCAGACTGTTGCCTTCTGCCTTATCCAGCTGCTGCTGGTTGAGGTGAAGCAGCCTGAGCTCTTAGAGGGCTGGAAACGTCATCATTGAACTGAAACATTACAAAGAAGCTCCAAATAGTGACATGGATTGACCACAACCACCACTGTCACTGCATTCGCTTGTTTTCTTTAGACAAATATCAGGAAAGGATACTGTATATTACCAGCAAAAATATTCCAACACATTTTTCTATCATATAATAAATTATGCTGCATATTTTTACCTTCCTCTTGAACAGATTTTAAATCAGTCTGCACACGTTTGTCACAGTTAACCAATCACTTAATGATTGGTTAATGGGGTTTGTAGTCTGTACAAATTTAAATCAGTTTAACTCCGTAATACTCAAAAGTATGTACCGGATTAGCAGAGATGAAGAACAGAAACTTTACTTTTCTTTTTTAAATCAATAAAAACAGGAGAAAAAAATAGAAATTTCAAAGCTTCCATGTTTGATGCATAAAACCCATGAAGAATCCCAAAGTAAAGGACCAAAAATGAAGGTCGTCCTTCTATGTTTATATCAACATAAAAGCTCCTTGTTTACTAGACACAAATTAATGAACAAAATCTGGCAAGTTGCACTTTCATCCAGGCTATTTGCATTTTTCCAGACCGAAATTCCAACTTTTTCAAAACCACGAGGGAGCCTCGGAACGAGGAGCGAGGGTGGATCTGCCGGAGCATCGCTGCAGGCACAGAGATGATTTTATGTCTTTTTTTGGCAGCTTGTCGACGCGTTCTGTTCCTTCACCATCTCATCATGTCGCGTCGCCTCCAACCCCACCTGCAGCCCTGGTGAGAGCTCTGATCTCTTCCTGCAGGCGCAGAGTCCCTCTGCTTCCTCATTTGAAAGCAAACTTTTTAAGTTCAGGGATGAAAAATAATAATAATAAAAAAAGAAATCTGGTTTGAAAAACCAGATGTGAAACAGAAGAACTTTCCTTCCTACAGCCTCCAGCTGCTTGACACAAAAACTATTCTTTCATATTAAGCTAAACAAATAAAATGAGTCACACCAAGAGATTTATTTAGTGCGCAGGATCGCTGCACTGCGAGCGCTAGCCTCTGCAGCTCGTCCTTCCTTTAAACTTTAACTCTGACCTCTGGAGGGAGACAAGCTTGCATCACTAACTCCTGATATTTCTGAGGTTTTTCACAGCAGATCTGCTGTTTTAAGAGTTGCTGCATCAGCATAACAGTGTTACAGTAACAGTATCCTGACAAGCTCGGCCTTACTGTCAGCAGATCTGAACAGCTTCTTTTCTTCCTTTGTTGTTCATTTTATTTTATTCTGAATTATTTTATTCAATCAAGTCTGAAGGATTATTAACTTTTACTGTCCATTTTTCTTTGTTTGAAAATGTTCTATCTTGAATCATTTTTCTTATTTTCACTGAACAACTACAGTGTAAAGGTTATTGCATCCCTTAAAGTTGTTCACATTTTGTGTTGAATGGATTTTATGTGACAAATAGAAATTTGTCACAAATTGTCCCATAAAATTTTGAATTATGTTAGTTATATTTTCATTTTAGTAAATACAAATCTGAGAAATGTGGCATGCATCTGTAATATGACCCCATCTCCATTAGAGGTACAGTTCGTCTAGAGGTTAACATTTTTGCCCGTTTAGCTCAAGATGAGTTCAATTTGATGTAGAACATCTGTGAACTTTAATCTTGCCACAGTCCTGCCTCTGACTGGGCCGTTCTAATACCTGAACACAGTCCGATCCTAATCCTTTTCTCTGTCAGGTGTTCAACTGGTTTTCTTGCAGGAAAACTGGTTTGACACCACAACTGTTCAGAGTGCAAAGATTCTTCCAACTGTAGAGCATCCAAAACCAGATGGAAAAAATGTCCAAAAACCCAAAAACCTCAACACAAAAATAAATTAACTGACAAATCTACAGAGGAACAACATGAAGCTGTTGCTCAGGGGACGCATTAAACCGCCCATGAATCAATTCATTACTGCCCATTAATGTTTTCCAGTTTGCATTAGTAGAAGAATTTTTCTGCAGTGGGCTCCAGCCCCGGGGCCCAGATTCTTGTAAGTCCGGCCCTGCTCATGCATTTGTAGCAGTTTCTAATCCAATGTGTTGATCTATCAATAAGTTCTTGATAAAACAACAATGAAGCTTTGGGCTGCTAAGGGAACAAATTCAAGCGGTTTGAATACTTTTAAATGCTGCCGTGTTTTAAAGATGAAGGAAAGCAGGACTTTAGCAACCTGGAGATAAAGTAAAACAGCAACAATTATTTTAGTAATCAATTAATTATTCTGAATATTACCTGATTAATCGCATGAATAGTCACATCAGCATCCTAGTAAGCTTTTTTTATTCTAGAATTTCTTTTCTTTTTAAAAATAATCTTTTTGCTAAATGCAAAAGAATCTTTTGATTGTCTGTAGCAAATAATGAATGAATTGGTGGCTAAAAAAATCAATTAATACAACACAGGGCTAGTCTGACTGCTTCATGTGAGTCTGTTTTCTTAATGACATTTGAACCTGATAAAGCTATGACACTTGAGTTCACCTCATAGAAGATTTTTTTAAAATCTTAAATACAAAATGTCAATATTTTACACTGTTTTTGCTCAATTACTGCAAAATGTCCTTTTCTGAGTCTTTATACTCCAGTTACATATTAATCGACAACTACATTAGTTGATGATTATTTCAATAACCAATTAATCAGGATTAATTCAATTGATCAGTTGTGGCCTCACTATTGTCAGCAAACAGCTACTTTAAAGACCCAACAATCGACTACTAAATTCATTGACAATTATTCCAATAGTCAATTAATCGTTTCAGCCCTCCTTGTTGTTGCTGTTTAATTCCTGATACTGAGAAAACACTTTGACCAAACCTGACATTTTCCACGCATCATATTGAGTTTCCCCACAGGTGAAAGCAAATGTTTTAAAGCAGCGACACTGATGTGAACGTCACGATGAGATGACAAACCAAACACAGCGGGATTAGTGCCAGACACGTGAAAACAAGAATCAGCGCAATGTGGAGGATGAAATGCTCCTCAAGCCGGTGGAGGATGACGATGGAGATGAAGAGGTGGATTTTGGCTCGCAGTGAGGTAGCTACCTCTCCTGTGCTGCCTCTTTGCTCTCCTAACTGAACTGCTGCTGCTGCTGCTGTGGGGCCTGCTGGCTGTGGGGAGGAGAGGAGGAGGAGGAGGAAGAGCAAAAGGAGCAGGTTGTTGCTGCTGATGCTGCTGCTGCTGCTGCTGCAGGGGCTGCTGCTGAGGGAGGGGGGCGGAGGTGAAGCGCACGCCGAGTCCCACCGCTGACATCAAAATGGAGGCCATGCCTGGAGCGAGGGTGAGGTGGGGTGGGGTGGGAATGGGTCGGGATGAGTCGGGAGTGAGTGAGGGGTGCAGGAGCAGAAAGGAACAAATCGAAAGAATGAGTAATGCAGCAGCGGCGGTGGCGTCCACTGCGACTCTCACACACGCACATAAAGTCACAAAGTCTGAACAGGAGTCGCAGGTTTCAGCGGCCAAAACGGATAACGACACGGAGCTCTGGACCAAAACTTTACATCGTCCCCGGAGGAGAGCGAAGAGACGTAATGTAGTTTGTTGATGCAAGCCAACAAGTAAAGAGTCCCGAAGGTGATAAAACCCACTGCAGTGAACGCGTCGCACCTTAAAATACATTCAAACTGATTCCAGATCGTAAAAATGCGACTCCAGAATCTAAATTGGGATCCATCAAATTTAATGTTCGTTCTAAAAAAAATAAATAAAAAAGTAGTCAATGAGGCTGCAGGACAGGGTGATAAAGAGAAACTGCATCTGAGCCTGAACTGTCACTTAAAACTAACGGGGATTTTGTTGCATTTACAACAGGTCACAATTCTGTAAGGAGTTTGGTTGGAAAGTCGACATATTCTGCCTTCAGCTCAGCTGAATGCAAGCAGGATGCAAAGGTCAAAGGTCAAAATGGCCTCACCTGCTGAAGACAGAGCACCTGAGCCACAAACGGTGTGACAAGAGATTACAACCACACCATATTTGTCCACATGAATTAACAAGAAGCGCCAAGAAAAAAGATTAGGGTCACTGAAAAAAAAAAAGTATATTTTTTTTGCACTGGCCCTAATCCTTTCCTGTAAAACGCCATCTAGAGGCCATCAGCTTGTGCTTTCATCTGGTCTAGTAAGTTATCATTATGAACCTGAGGATCTGGGAGCTTTAAGCTCTATAACCTGTAGCCACATTTCAGACTCAAGGTGTCACCTCTGCCTCGACCCCTCTGTTTCTATTTGCGACTCCGTGTTACAATCAATGTTATAAATAAGCTGATGACCAACAACAGGAAAACATAGCTGCAGCAGTTTTTCTGAACATTTTTGGAATCCGTTTGGAAAAAAAACACAAACAAAAAAAAAATAATTTTTTGTTTTCCAAAGAGTCAAAAAAATCAATTTCCTGAAAATATATTCAATTAAAATTCTGTCCAAATTCAGAATCATAAAAGAAAATACATTTATTGTTGCATTTCAAGCAACAATATATGAAGTCTCACAAATTAAAATCCTTTTGGCCGACTTTTATGCCTGATCAAAATGTTGAGTGGAGGGAGTATTTTGGTAATGGAAAAGAGAAAAATATATAGTTGAAAATGTAGACAAATCAGATTATTTGGCAATAATATTGCATAAGTTTCCAACCTGGTGCAGGCCAACAGACTTATATTCTCCACATTTTAAAAAACTAACCAACCTCAGGTTCCTCCTATGTTTTTTTCCTTTACATTTTTTTTCAATAAACACACTATGCACTTAAATCTTTGTGTATGTTAACTGAACTCCTGTTTAAATTGTAGCAGAAGATGTCCGTTGTGCGGTCTGCAAAAAGAGTAACTTAAAACGTTTTACTTAAAAGCAAACTAATTTCTCCAGATATCTTAATATCTAATGAGGTTTTTAATGTTGTGGATTTTAAAGGCCCAGAGGTTGGAACCAAACAGTCCTGATGCGGTTTGTTTTTACTGCCGTTCCCATCCCACATTTATTTACACTCCAATTTAACGACTTGCTGTCAGGAGTTTTAACTGTACCCTTAGTTGGTGCAGATGTAAGTTTTCCTGTCTGCTAAAGCAGCTCTTGTTATCATATAATGACTACGATCCAAACGAGCTCCAGGACTGAATCAAATTAGAAAACTGCATGTTTACAAAATGAAATATGACATCAAGCAAGCAACTTTCTAAACCATAGAGCTAATTGTAAATCGTGTTGAAGTAGCTTGGTTTGTCAGAAATTTAGATAAAGATGTTTTCTTTTTATTTGCTGAATCTTTCTAAGGGACTCAATTCTCAGGATTTTATTGCCTCTTCTTAACTTCAAACAAATAAAGAGCTGATGTTTTCCTGCATGTGTTCAATTGGACCAAAGTTTCTTGTAGACTGACTCTAAAACTGTACCACTTACGGAAGGGATGACTAAAATAAAAGCCATATTCTGAAAGCAAAAAGAAAAAGTCAATAAAAATCTAATCTGGTATGACAAAAATCTGAGATATTGTTTGTACGCCACATTGCGCCTGGCCCTGACTAACAGGAAGCGTGAAGTAGCCAAACTTTTAAAAACAAAAAAAACAACAACAACAAAAACAACAGGGGAGCTACTAAACAAAACTTACAATTTGGACGTTTTTTTTCCTTTACATTTCTTCAATAAACACACTATGTGCACTTAAAAACCAGCTCTGTGTTTTTTTTTGGGCAATGTCTGAAAAGCCTCCAGAATGTAACATCACAAATCACAGCAAAGCATAGCGTTACCTAGCAACCCAAGCTACGTTTCAGGATGTTTTGGTTTACTACTGTATGTACAGTGTGTTGTTGACTTACAATCCAATAACCACTTCCTGTGTTTTATTTGGCCGTGCAGGGGGCTCTACTAATGCTTTTCAAAGATGCACAGTTGTCTAATTGTGCATTTCACATGCAAGTGGCCACCTGCTGCTAATCTGAATTTAGAGTGACAAGATGTTCTAAAACATCTTGGCTTGAAAATGGGCAGAACAGAACAGACTAAAATCCCATTATCTCAGAATGATTTTGTGCAAAAGGTGAAACGATCATGTTTGTACCCATTTTAAAATCTTCAAAGAAGCATAACATGTCACCTTTAAGAACTAACAAAATTCATGTCCCCCAGACCAACGCATGACCTTCTGTGGTTCATGCTAGCGGACTCTGCCTGTTTCAGAAACTTTTCAGGGTTACTGCATTCATGCATATCTGCATCAGCTGAACACCTTCAACCTTTAGCACCACATAATGACACAAAAATAAATCTCCAAAACTAATAGGATTCCTGCAGCTGCAGATGTTGAAACATGCATGTGATTTTGTAATGTTTACGTTTCGGAGCCACCAGTATTTATTCTGCGTGCGCTGAATGCAGTTTGGTTATTATTGCTGCTCATTTCAGTCTGATGAGCAGTAAAGCTGCATTAGGAGAAGATGCTGCGGGGGTGACCTTCCATTTGAAATCATTTACTCAAAGTCTCAGTTGGGTGCTCCCGCCTAATGAGGTTCTGGTCCAGCAGCCCCTGATTGGACTGATCCAGTCAGCTCAGCACCTGGCTTTTAAATTAAAAAGGTGCGCAGCAGGAGAAAACAAAGTGACAGAAAATACTTTATCTAACATTTAATGACAGCCCTGTCTAACGTCACCATGCTTAATTATGCAGAACTACGTTGTTTTTTTCCTCTGCTGAATGCATCAGTTCATTTCAATTAAATTCCTCAATTTTTACTCAAACATCGCTGATTAAAAAAAGTTTCAAAGTGAGGTTTGAAGCTCGGTCTCAGAGCCACGCAACTGGACTAAATGTAAGATTTTGACCAAACCATTTCTAATTTAAACACGATGACTTGATACGATTTTGAATTGTGTTTACGTTGGGGAGTCGAGCACCATGAATATGCATTAAATTATGAATATTTTCTGCTCAAGCTGAGCCTCAGTGAGACTGTAGATACTCCGTTCTAATTAAGAATTGAAACATCTTATATACTTTATGAAAATTGAGTGCTTGGAACAGAAAGCAGCAGGGAGAATATTCCAAAATACAACTTTGAGCAGATTTGTAAGGTTTGTCCAGCAGAGCAGATTTCAATGCCAGAACATGAATAAAACAACTGGGCCCAACATGGAGACGCTTCAGTTCAAATCACTCCCTGTTTTATTTAAAGCAGAACTGAAATCAAGTCTCAAAATATTGATATTGCATGAATTTCACTTAGTGAAACACTTCCCCAAAACATTTTAGGGAATCATTTCTCCGTCCCAAAACTTCACTTGTTTCGAATGTTAGTTGATAAATGCTGAAATGGGGGAACTTCTGGGCGACGGAGTTACCTTCTCTTGTTGATGATGTCATTGCTCTAAAACGATTCTACTGTCGGGTTATTTATTCGTGGAAATGGAAGAAGACTGTTGTACATGAAGAGACGCTGGAAGACCTTATGAGAATAAATGATGTAAAGCCATGACAGGATGAGTAGTAGCACAGAATACTGTATTTTCTGGACTATGAAACGCACTTAAAAGTCTTTCATTTTTATCAAAAACCGACTTAGAATGTGGAGCACCATATATATTGTAGTAAAACCATCCCCCTTCAGTGAATTAACAACGCTCTGTCAAAATGTTTCAGTTACGTAACGGCTGCCATAGTCAGGAGCGTGGAGGAGTTTTGTTTCGCTCAATGTGCCTCATGTGTGAAAATGTGAAATTTGTGTTGGGCATTCATAAATATTTTAATTCTGGGTAATCATGTGCAGCACATATTTACTTGAGATAAGCCCTTTGTCGGTTTGTCTCATTGTCCAGTACTAAACTAACAACTCATTCATGTTGAAATATTTTACGTTTTTTGGGGGGTTTTTTGGTCTGGGCGGATTGTGTACATCTTCTGATTCCAGTTCCTGAATGATACAAATTTGGTTGCCCTGCACAGGTGTATGATGGCAAATTTATATTTTTAATTAGGACAAAACTATTACAAAGTAATACATTCTGACAACAGATAAGAAAATATTTGTCTTCAAACAACCACACTTTGTATATTTTCTTGTAAGAACCAATGACTTTTACTCTAAAACAAACTGTGCTTTATATTAATTATACATTAAAATCTGCTTTATATTAATTTAATAAACTTGGCTAAATATAGAAAGCATTTTCAAAGAGAATGACAAAAATTCAGATATTTTTCAAAATCAACTTAGTTGTTTTTTTTGTTTGTTTGTTTTCTTTTTAAATGATTTGGAAAGTTACTTTTAATGACAAATACTTTAGAACCTTTTTAAGTTTTGAATTTAGAATAATTAACCAATCCTTTTCCTGCAGTAAATCTGACCGGTTTATGTGTTTAAATAAAGTATTATATACTTAGTTTATTGTTGAGTAGGCAAAAAAAGCTTCTTTGCCTACTCAAAATCTGGGTAAGGCAGATCGAAAGTGAAGATTCGAACGTGACGTTCACAACGTTGACATTTGGTTTTGACTCAGTGAGAAAAGTATTCTGAAACAGAACTGGAGCAACAGAGGAACTGGTTTTTCTGAAACTGGCTCATCTGCATGCTAAAGGACGGTTTCAGAGATTATAAAAGTAAAACCTTTTAAAGTGGTTAAAAAGAAATAACTAACACATGCAAACCCTTCACCGGTCAAGGTCCTCTGGTTTTTTCATTTGAAAAAAATGAGATTTTAAATAAATGAGCTTGATTAGGAGAACAGAATATGTTGTATAGACTTTCACCCATGAGGAAATGTTTCCATACACTCTCCCTCTCAGCCTATTCCATCTTTAAATTCTTAAACGTTGGACTCTTCGCTTCCTGTAGCTTTCCAGATTTTGGTCCCAAACAGGCAGAGACAAATGCAGTGTGGCAGCACCGAACTCTGTAACGACCTGCGGCCTGAAACCTGCAACCAGCCGGAAAATGTGGTGTGGAGGAAACTGTGAGGATGGATGATTAGTGACCCGGTTACCTGCCAGGGCAGAGCTCACGCTGGTGGAGCCGTTCAGCTGCACAGAGATGGAAGGAACACTGCAGGCCGGGAAACACACACAGAGACACTCAATCAGTAAAAACACACACCAGGAAACTCAAGAGGAAGTGCAAAACAAAGACTGGCAACTATTTTAGTTCAACACACGTCACAGACTCAATATCGGCAGAAAATGCTGCTGTGACATCAAAACAGAAACGTTGTGATGGATCCTGCATCCTTGCTGCAGGGCCTGATTGCTCCAGGTTTGGCTGAATGACTCCACAGTCGAAGTGATAACGGACATGCAGGAAACAAACCCGATTACAACCCAATTCAGATTTTAAGGGTAAAAAAGGAGCAGAATGGAGCTTCAGTGCAACATAAACATTTAAATGAGATCAAATTTTTCTACGGTTCTCACGAATCTATGGAGAACTCATCCTGCCAAAATTGGCAATAAATGTAGAAATAAATGAATGGCTTGATAATGTAATTAATGTGTTCAAATATTGCATCCAAAATAAAAAATAAAAACAAACACTTCCCAACTTATTTGATAACACACTGAGACAAGTTGCCATTTATCATTTTAACTGTATTAATTTAACAATAAAAGTTATTTAATTTTTCACTTTATTGATAATCTTTTTTTATTTTTTATTTCTTTACTTTTTCTCATTTTGAGTATAAAAAATACTTATAAAAAATGACAGTATAGCAAATTTTAACATAAAATTGAAAAATTACATTAAGAATGTAGCAAGAAAAAAAACCTAAAAGAACAATTTAATAATATTGATCATCATCCAATTAATAAAGAAATGAAGTCATGCAGCTGGCTAAATTTTTTGGATTCAATATTTTTTTACAATAATTACTTTATCAAGCCATTTACTTATTTACATTATTGTTGGCAATTTTGTAACTGAATGCCTGCCACACCCAGAGATCCCAGAGGCGCATGAATAGAACCTATACGATAACAATTAGCTACATATTATTTTATCAATCAAATCAAATCAGTTTTTGTCTGTTTGCTGCCTTTTTTATTCCTCCAGTTTTTTTTTTTTTTTTTTTTTTGCAATTCTGTGATCTCGCAAATTCATGCAAAAATCAACAAATGTGGGAATTTTTTTTACATTATTGCATAACTGTGAGTTTATGGCAAATTTTTATCACCACGCTGCTGCCTCAGTCGTAGTTAACGTCAAATTACAGTTAGTGACTGTGTACGGCAATATGGCAGCTAACAAAAAGTTACACTTACTGCCATATAAGCGTGAAGTTTCTAGCAAATATTTCTAAATTAGCTTGACAAAATCAATGGTGTTGATTGTGAAAAAAAAAAACAAAAAGGAATGATGAGGGAGAGGAGATAATTAATATTATTTCATTTTGAGGATCACTTTGTAACGACGAGGTGCCATCAGAAGAAATAAAGTAAAAATTATAAGAAGAAAATCACAAAACACTGAGAATGAAGTCACAGTGTCACACAAAGTTCTACGAGAATTAAGTCAAACAATAAAGAAGCATTACAAGAATAAAGTCACTGGTATGGGAAGTTGTATGAGAATAGAGTCATAAACGAATACGAGAATAAAATCAGCGTTTTGAGAATAAAGTCATAAGGACATAAGAATAAAGTACTAATATCACAATAATAAAGTCAACATTTCAAGAATAAAGTTGCATTACTAAAATAAAACCATCATATTACCAGAATAAAGTCAGAAAATAACTTTATTCTTCTAACAGATTGACTTCAATCCAGTAATTCTTTTTCTTAGCACAGCCCTAATATTCCATCATACTTAGCAAAGGTAGACACAGCTAGTTATTGATATTTTAACAGTTCACTGGGTTTTATCAATACATTTAGGCACAACCGGCCCTTTAAAAACATTCCTGACCTTGATGTGGTCCAAAATGAAAATGACTCTTAACCCCCCACCCTGCTGCAAGTGATCCCCTATAGCAAACGCCAGACACCAACCTTAACCCGTTAGCACTTGGAGAGCTGCTCAGATGAGGCGCAGACATCTGACCAGCCGAGGGCGGCAGCGGCCAGGGGCTGCCCCAAGACATCCCCCCCACAGAGAGGGGTCTCCTGGGGTAGGGCGAGTAGACGGAAGCGGGGTGAGCAGCAGCGACCCTCCCCGTCCCCTGGAGGATGGGCCGGTTCAGGCTACTGGAGGAGAAGGAATGTCGCGAGCGGCTGGGCATCGGTCCTGTGCTGCTGTAGCTCAGACACTGCTGGCAGGAACAGGTGGGGGGAGGGGGCACGGAGGAGGCCAGTGGGTAGGGCAGGTTGCACTGCCGCCGCACCTGCCGCCTGAAGCCCGTTGATTTATTGACCTGAGCCAGAGACGTCAGGTCCACAATGTAGTTGTATCCGTGGGGGCCGAGGTCGGCCGTGCCCTGGCGCGCCTGATAGCTGTGCTCCAAAAGGATGGAAGTCCGGGTTTCGTACGGAGTCCAGCTGCCTTCGTCGTTGGCCCATTCCCAGTAGACGCCGCTGCCGAGGCCGGAGGACTGGGCGAACAGGGACCGGCGCACGGAGCGCGTCTTTCCTGAAATTATACAGGAAGGATTTCAGCAAAACAGTCGAAAACTCCCTTTCATACTAAATATCTACCAAGTTGATTTGTTATTTCTCCTTCCATGTGAAGAGTTTTTAAATCTATTTTTTGCATTAATTCTTCTATTATTCCATGCTTTAGTGTTCATTTTTTACTACAGTTTGAATAAACCTCATTAATATGTTGCTAATGTATTGTCGTCTCAGCAATAAGGCTGAAACAATTAATGGGATTAATTGTGATTAGTCAATTATTGGAATCATCACAATTATTAGGATTAATAGAATGAATAAATTATTGTAATAATGATCAACTAATTTAATAACGGAATAATCATTAACTTGAGCATACAGACTCTAGAACATCCAATTTGCTGAGAGAGCATCAACTAAACCAAAGATGAACTAAAATAAATATATATATATATATATCATTTAGGTTGAAGAGTGGCATACTTTTAATTTGACCTCACATTTTGTAATAAAAAAAATCTATTAAGCAACTTTTGGCCTCCACTTATCAATTAAGTCAATAGTTCAATATGCCTGCTATTGATAGATTAAGCTTTTCACATGTTGATGTTAAAATATTATTTACCTGCAGCATCCTTTGCTACAACTGATCAAACATTAACTAAATATTATGTAATGATCATTTTGTGATTTAAAAAGGAATAGAATTGTTTATCTTCATTTTCATACATATTTCTAATATTGTGTAAAATAAGCTTAATTTCTTAAATAAATCCACAAATGAGCCAATTTTTTATGTGAATACTGGCCAGAATAGTATATTACTAAAATAATTGTTAGTTCATTTTATTACCAAAAATGTTAGCATAAAGTCATTGGGAACGTCCTGTAGAGCCTTGACCTGTGACTCAGATATGAACTGCACCCATGTTCAAGGTCTGTTTGAATCATGTGAAATACAAAAGCTGTCAGAAAGACTGAGAACTCCTTTTGATCACACCTATGAAACCTCAGGTACAAGACGTTTTAAAACCAAATCTAATTTAAAACTTCAGAGCCAGCTGGAAATCCAGTTCATTTGCTTTGCTGCTGCTTTGCAGATCTCAGTCTGGCTGCTGGAAACTCTCCTGTATGACGGTCTGCTCACTGTGGTGTGCAACGTCCTTCATTTTATGGAGCATGTCAATTTGAATAAACATTTACATGTGTTAAGAGTTACATTTTACATTTGAATTACAAAGCTAGGAAAATATCTCTTTTGTTTAATGGGGTTTTTCTTAGTATATTGTCACTTTTCATCTGGATCACTACCCAGTATTTTAGAAAATCTCATTTATTTATTCTTTTTCTCCATACATGCTCTTCAAACATTAAAATTAAATCCCAAACTTATATTACATTTTTTAAATTAAATATGAATTATGCTCCTTTATGTTATATTGTATTTTAACGTTTTCTGCACCACTGTTGTTCATCTTTCTGCTCTTATTCCTGCTTATGAAAGCTTCTAGCATTCATTTAGTCACATCTGCAACAATAACAACATGCACATTAACAAAACATGCAACATGCACTTTGACAAAAACACAGCATTGCGACTGTTTGTAGTTATTAGCTCAATTATTAAATGATAATATAAAACCGTGAGCCTCTAAGACATTGATGGCAGCAGGTAGAAGGCTGATTCTGTTCTGGGGAAAACACTTTAACATCTGGAGATATTATTACTTTCAAGAAAACAAACGTATGCTGCAAAAAGGCCTTTATCCTCCACTTTTATTCATCCTTGTCAACATTTCTTTGCATCTCTTCTGACCTTAGGACAGTACTTCAACTGTGCATGTTCTACAGTACATTATGCTAAAACATGCACTGGGATTATGATAGCTCAGTGTAACCCTAGAAATCCAGCCATCTGTTGCTATGGCGATACCTTTTGCCTGCTTCAGCATCTGAAGAACTTGCAGATCTCATATTGTTTAATATCTTGTTACACACCTATAAAATTAAGTTAATTACGCACTGAACATTTATGAGACCGTTATAAAACAAAGTGTCTTCAGTCAGTTGTTTTTTTCAAAATTGCTGTGATACAGACTGCTACAGGAGACTCTTCCTGTCCACAGCAGTCAAGATGCACAAAAACTGTTTGAGAAAAGGTGGACGTTATGATTTAAAACATTTAAATTCCGTTTGGGATGGAAAAAAAAAGTATTTTAACTGAATTAAGCCAAGACTGTGAATTGTTTTTAGGAAGCTGGTTTAGGCCTGTTAGATGCATGTGAGACATCGTTATAAATACAACACATTAACGGCCTACACGGGTCCAAACGCGTTCAATTTGTTCACCTGTGTCCTGTCGGAACTGCTTCAGGCTCGGTATGTCTATGAGGTAGGGCGACAGGCTGGGGTCCGACTGTCCGAGGCAGATGCTTGTAGCGCCGGCTCCTCCGGCTCCTCCGGCTCCTCCGCCTCCCCGGTGGCCGCGCGGTGACAGACACCGCTCGATGTAGGCGCTAACCTGGCCGCTGTAAGGCCGCCAGTAGCCCAGGTCGTCCTGCCACTCCCAGACCGCTATCATGGGCTGAGACTGCCCCACGGAGCCGGAGGCTGTCGTGGCCGACACCGAAGGCCCGTTTCTGGAGCCGTTCACCCTGGCACAGGAGCCAGACACAATCGCCATGTTCGCTAACACGACGACTGGTTAGCCGATTGTGGCTACGACGAAAACAATGTCCGCAGCGAGGCTAGCTGGGCTCGTTAAAAGACTCCATTAGGAATGTGTTAGCACGCCTGCGAGGAAGTTACGAGGTGGGGATCAAACTGGAAACGGCCTGAATAAACATTCAAGACCATGTTGACGAAGCCGAAGCATTCAGATCGCTTTACATGAGCAGAGACGTTAACAGGAACCCTTCCTCTTCAGCGGCTGCCTTCACGGACTGTCGGAAATAGTAGTGGTCCGTTCCATTTGTGCTTCAAAGTAGGAAATTTATACTTCCGAGTCAGAATTATGACGTTCACTTAATTCAAGCAGATAGAAGTCTATTTCGAATAGTATAGGATCAACCTTACTATAACCATAACCTTTTGTTGCCTCAGTGAGAAAATTCAGCGGCAAACAAGGAAGTCCAAGCATGCAGATTTAGATAACAATAAAAGTAAAAAAAGAAGTAATAATAATGTACTGTACACAAGGGGCGGCCAAAGCGGGAGTCAAAATGATTTACAGAATCATATTATAAACCAGAGGTGTACGACGGTGTTCTATGGAAATAACAGATAAAAAAGAGAACATTTCGGTCATATAACTCAGAATTTATTAGATAAATCTCTAACGAAATAAATCTCAGAAATTGTCTAGAAAAAACAACAAACTATATAATTTGAGAGAGGAAACTGTTTTGAGTTTCAAAAGTCGATCATTTTATTATTATTATTATTTTATTTTTTTTTACTTTTTTATCTCTGGGATTTCAAAGTTTATTTCGAGAAAATTTCTGAGATTAATCAAAAAATACTTCAACAGATTTTAACATTTTCAAGCTTGGAAATGTTTTTTTTTTTTTTTTTTTCTAAAAAATCTATGATTGCTCTACTACACTGCAATGGATTAAAAAAACAAAATCAAATACATAAATATACCATTAAATGTCTCACTATGTAATATTTAACAGTATAACTTTAAATTGTCTTTATAAAATAAATATATTTTAAAATATGTGTAATTATTTGATTCCATGTATTTATTTTTAAATAGAGTTAAATATGAGTCAATAGGTGATCTCCAGGTAGCTCATAAGGAGTTGCCATGCAGTCTCTGGTATTATTATTTTGGGCATCAGAGGCTGAAAAGTTTGGATACCCCTGCTGCACCGTAAAGGAAAATTTACAGCCAAAGAAAATAGTGTGCAGAAGAAATACTCTGCATATTTCTTTGAACCTCATTCTCAAAGCTTATAGTTGAAAAAAATCTATAAAATGTGCATAAATAATAAACTGACAAAGACAAGAAGAAGATGCAAATTACAGCATATTTTTTCTTTCAAACATTTTCCAACTTCTTAACTCTGTTGGAAGCCTGGATCAGGTCCTTAAAGGAAGACCACAACACCTTGAGGCATCTCTATTAAAAGCTTTACTAGATAAAAAGAAAGGAAGGAAAAATACGATGCCATAATGTTTTGTGAGGTCTAACCACACTTATCTTTTTATCTTTACATCAAAATGAAGGCAGAACCTTCTTGTTGCAGACCATTATTGTCTTTCCTCTCTCATCTGACTATGAACAATTTCTGCCCTCAGCTGGAGATAAACATGCATGACATGAGCAGCAGTTCATGTGAGCTTTCCAAAACCTCAGTGTGCCTGAGTTCATAACAGATGAATCAAGACTTACAGTTTACAAAAAAAATAGTACACTTTAGAAAGATGGTTGTTGTTGCAGTATATGGTGGTTAATGAAACATGAATAAAATCTGTGCAGAACAGCTTACAATAAGTGTGATCTCTTTCGAGCTTTAAACTAATACTGCAAGACAAACCTGGGCCTTATTAATTAAAACTTTGTTAATAATGGATGAAAGCAGTCATATCTCGTTTTCTAGCGAGAAACTGACTCGCTATAAACCTCTGCTTTAGACATGTTTTTTTTTATTTTGGCTTACTTTGGAAGAATTTCATTTCATTTTAATTTAGCAATTTTGTGTGCTTTTTTGATACAACATCCTGAATTTGTTTTTTGTGTTTTTTTTAACTCCACCAAAATAGAATTTAGTATAGTTAGACAAAAGAAGCCGAGAAGTTTCAGAAGCATAAAAAATCTTTCAATTTTGCTGAGCAAAAACTTTTGGTTTGATGCACTCAGGTTGTAAATTATGTAAGCAGAGGATTCCTGGCTTCTCCCCGATACATTGGAGGAAAATAAAAGTTTGAGGTTCTGCTGCAGCAGTGAATGATATCTAAAAAAAGATATCATTCTGCTAAAAGAACATAGTAATTTTACTTGCTGAAAAAGCAGTTTTCAGATGTTGGAAACTCTTCTACTGCATTTATGTTAGAGAAGATTAAAATTTTACATCAATCACAGATGGAAGTTATGAACACTGAACAAACAGCAAGACAGTGTGACAGCGGACTCCACATAAGGTGTGCTTTGGTATATTAGTTGCAGATCCCTGTCAAAATCCCTGAATTTTTTATTTTTTTCCATAAAACATTAGTTGTGGTTGTTGTCATGCAAGTATTTATGTGCTTTTATCTGTTAGGATATTTATGCAAGAACTGACATTTTATTTTTATTGCCATCATTAAATTGTGAGACAGATATCTTTGATTAAATACAAGGAGTTGTCTAATGGTAGACGGGAAAGATCTCTCTTTGTCATCATTGTGACGAAAAGAAGTTTGGGTGATAATTTAGCTTCAGAAAATAATATTATTTCTTTGATCACAGTTTTGTCTTTTCAGCTGACTACAAAAGTAATCCACTGAACATTGGAAGTTTGCGAAACATTAAACTCCTTCCAAAAGTACTTTAGTGTTTGGAATCATTTTCCCCCACTCTCAGGGAAAACAGAAGAATGCTGTTTTGCTCGACCTTTTGTGCTCATGGACGATGGCTAAATGTGACTTTTTCTGAATAATTTTGGTATTTTCTGTACATTAGGCGACCTTTGAGTTGTCGTTGTTCTCCCTGGCTCCAGATATCCTGTGGATCCCTGTTTGTACCTCCCTGCCCCAAAGGAATTTCCTGGCAATAGCTCGAAAATTTGAAATAGATTTCTGCTGAATGAATTCTTGTGGATGAAGATCTGAGTTCCTGGAGAAATTCATTGTTTATGAATTTCATTTTTTAGCTCTTAACCTTGAGAACATCTTTGTTTTCATATGGTCACAAGATTGTTATGGGAAAAACAATGTTGAGTTCTCTGAGAATCCCTGCTGTAAAACCAAAAGATGATCTATGATAATAATTAAAGTCATAAATGTGACACAAAGTAGTCCCAAAATATAGCTGAGCACAATAGTTATTATTTGTGCTGATTTGCAGCATTTTGTTGACTTTCTAATTTGTTTTTGGCATGTTTTTATGTCTTTCCATCTTGAAAAGAATCCTTTCAATTTGTGTGCAGCGGTGCAAATGTCTGGCAGCAGTTGCTTCTTCATGATACATTTTTGTTTATTTCATGCACTGAGCCAACTCACTTGTGTAGAAGAGCAGGAAGCAGCCAAACATTTGCTTTTATAGAAATTTTAAGGTTTTTCAGTGATCAGTCTTTGAGGCACATTTGAACATCTCATTCCAACTAACCCCTTGATTACTGAAAGTAGTAACAATGCTTTTAGTATTATTATATATTTCTTCTCTCATGAGTGACGTTTCCATTAACTATAAATTTTAATGTAATTCTTATTTATTGGAATTGCAGAATTGCAGAATTGTGTGTGTGTGTGTGTGTGTGTGTGTGTGTGTGTGTGTGTGTGTGTGTGTGTGTGTGTGTGTGCGTGTGTGTGTGTGCGTGTGTGTATGCGTGTGTGTGTGTGTGTGTGTGTTTTCTTTTTCTTTTTTTTGACATTGGCAGAATATGGACAAATATTTGCACACGTTTTCAACAGATTCTCTCCATTTTTCTAAAATGTGTGGCCTGTGTTTGTTTGAGACCTCTACTGCCTCCCCATTGCAGACATCTGTAGCATCAATATCATTTTCTCCAGGCCAGTTGATAAAAATACGCCTAATTCACATTTTCTTTTTTGGGACATTTTAAAAGTCAGCTTAAAACCTGCACAAATGGAATTAAACATAGTTGTTGTTCAATCAAAAAAGTATTCATCAGCAGACTGGAAAGGCTCTCCTGTCTACATTAGACCTTCGAATAACTGTTGAACAATTCATGTCATGTTGATATCCATAAAAAATCCCATGGAGAGGGCAGAGGATGATCTCTTTTTCTGAGTCACATCACACATGTTAAAAAATGTACAAAAATGCCTCGAGGGAAGAGCTAATGAAGACAAATTAGCCGATGTGAGTCATGTCTTGTAGATGATTGGATCACTTTGATGAGAAAAGATTCATTCTTGTATAACATTTCCAAAAGAAAATGAACATTTCCGTCACTGCGAAGTGACAAAAAAAGTAATTTTCCACACCACCGTTCGAAAACCCGCCTGTCGCCCTCTCTGTGGTCAGGGCCTGTGCACTCTGAATGGTGTCAATTACACGAATGAGACCCGCTGCATTCAAATTATGCCTCTCACATGCCAGACTTACAAGACTAGGTGTTCCAGTTGGGGATGAAATAATGGAAGCCAGGTCCCAGGATAGAAAGAGCTGTGGCTGGCGTCAGGGGAGCAGAACAATTTCCATTATCCAATGGCTTTTTGCCCACATTGTGGCCATCAGTATCAATGAAAGATCCTCTCCTTCACTCCTTTTAGGACCATTCTGGAGAATGGGTCGTTAAATCAGGGAAATATAGGAAAGGCACTGAACATCCTTCTTACAGACAAACGGGGTGTTTAAATGCTAATGGGTATTTTTAACTCAAAAACCAAACCGTACAGTCATTAGCTAAATTCCAGTGGTTCAGTACTTGTCTAAGGTATCCCAGATGTGGCCACAGAGAACTTATAATACATGACAGATAAGAAATACAACTGTCAGACGCACATCTTTACATTTAAAGGATTATCATCAGTAATTTAGTTTTCTACAGTTGGAGAACTTCTTCATTAGATCACACAAGATATTTTCCAGTAAATGTTGAATCTTCTGTTGTGTTCTGAATTTTTTACATGATCATACAGTGCAGGGAGAGAGTTGAAATACACATATCACTTTTATCTCATGTTTTCTGCAAATGTTCTTGCAACATTTAAACACGAGCCTGTGCTTATGAAGGCTGCTCACAATCCAGAACAGCATTTCCAATCTCAGTAGTGCTGTG